CCCTCTCTCTCTCTCTCTCTCTCTCTCTGGGCATGTGAGTGTGGTGCCCAAGGAAGCCAGATGAGGGTGTTGTATCCTCTGAATCTTGAGTTTTAGGTGGTTGTGAGCTACTCAAAGTGGATTGTAGGAACCAAATTTGGGTCTTCTAGAAGATCAAATGCTTTTAACTACAGAGCCATCTCTCCAGTCCCTCATCTTCTCCAATATTTCTGAGACAGAGTATTTTGTAATCTAGGCTGGCTTCCAATTCACTAGGTAGCCAAGGTTGAACTGATCCTCCTGCTTCTAATTTTCTGAATCCTAGATATGTGCTACCAGTAGAGCGTTTGCCTAGAATCCTCCAGTAAAGTGCTAGGGTCATGACTCAGAGGTAGAGCACCACTTGGAATACCCTGGGGGGCTCTAGGAATGTAACTTAATGGTAGAGCATATTTTAGGACAGCCCAATGAAGTACTTTGGGTATGCATGGCTCAGGGGTAGATGGCTCAGTGGTAGACCACTTGCTTAGTATATGCAAGGCCGTGGGCTCCATCTAAATCCACACACACACACACACACACACACACACACACACACACACACACTCCTCAGTTATCAATATTGCTGAAACATAGTGAATATTTTCCAAACACTTTCTCACTGTCCTTTCCCGTAGGTCCAATATTATTTTTCTTGATGGCCAGAGGCAAATGAAGAATAGATTTCCCCATTGACCATCAATGATTCCTTTCCATTGTTTTCCATCTCCCATTGTAATTCAAGCTGAGAGGACATTTCATTGCCCCCTGACCAACAACTTGGTAAGCAAGATGGATGGTCAATTGTTAACTAGGATTCACCCACCCCACCTGAGATAGGATCTCACTACTGTAGTAAGCTTTTTTGTCGGACTACATTTGGATCACCAGCCCCCAAATAATGACAAACAGACTTATTATTAATTATGAAAGATTGGCCTTTAGCTTAGGCTTGTTTTCAACTAGCTCTTATAACTTAGTTAACCCATATTTTTTAATCTACATTATGCCATATGGCTTGGTTACCTCTCCTCCATATGGCATATCTGAGTTACTCCGAATCTGCTGGTGAAATCCTAGATTTCTCTTCCTCTTCTTTTCTCTCCCCAGAAATCCCACTTATCCTCTCCTGCCTAGCTATTGACCATTCAAGCTCTTTATTAAACCAATCAGAAGGTGCCTTGGCAAAGACCTATCTTCACAGTGTACAAAAAGATTATCCCACAACATACTATGTAACCCAGGCAGACCTCAAATTGGCATCTTACTGTCTCACCATCCTGAACATTGGGATTACAGGTGTAGACAGCTCATTCATTCCATGTTTTTAAAATATTCTTTTTATTAATTCTTTGAGATTTCATAAATGTATTTTGATCACGTTTACATCCCTCTTCAGCTACGCCTCTCTGATCTACCTCCACTTTCTTAGCTACAGAACCCCATATTCTCTTGTTTTGTTTTAAAAATGCACTGAGTCCAATTTGTGTTGCCCAATACTCTTGGACATGGGGCCAGCCCATGGAGTGTGGTTGATCTAGCAGGGGTCACACTCTTAAAGAAAAAAGCCCCTCTCTTAAGGACTATCAATTACCAATAGCGCCTAAGTCAGGAATGAAACTTCATACCCACCTGCTCTCTCTGTGAGTCTTTGTCTGCCTGGAGCTTGCACAGGTCTTGTGTGCACTGTCACAACCACTGTGAGTTCATATGTGCAACTGCCCTGTTATGCCTGGAAAATGCTGCTTCTATGTAGTCATTCACTATCTCTGAATCTTATAGTCTTTCTGACCCCTCTTCCATGACAATGACACCTGAACTTGGGAGGAGGATATGCCATAAATGTACTGTGGTAGTTTGAATGGGATGGGTCCCCACAAGCTCAGAGGGAGTGGCACTATTAGGAAGTGTGGCTTTGGAACAGGTGTGGTTTTATTGGAGGAAGTGTGTCACTGTGGGGGTGGGTTTAAGGTCTCCTTTGCTCAAGCTGCACTCAGCATGACTCTGTTCACTTTCTATTCCTGAGGATCAAGATGTAGGACTCTGAGCTACTTCTCCAGCATCATGTTTGCGTGCACACTGCCATGCTTCCTGTCTTGATGATAACAGACTAAGCCTCTGAACTGTAAGCCAGGCCAATTAAATGTGTTCCTTTATAAGAGTTGCTGTGATCATGGTGTCTCTTCACAGCAATACAACCCTAACTTACACATGCACAATTTACTGATTACTTTGGCAGTACATATACTAAAATTGGAACACATACAGAGAAGATTAGCATGGCCCCAGTGAAAGGATGACACTCAAATTCATGACAGATTCTGTAATTTTTCCTTAACCCAGAAGTTACCTTCAACTGATAGCCACTTGCAAATGAAAACTTAGCTTTTTCCAAGGGAGTTTCACTGGGGAAACAAACTACTCTTAAGGGTAGGCCCCCATGCCCAACAGTAGATGGTCAACACAAAATAAATTAAATGACATCTTTGGAAGTTCTTTGTCTCATAATGTTTTATCAGGGTATTTATTTTATTTTATTTTTCACCGTCCAGGTCCTTTGTGTATTTATTATGGCTTCCACTTTTGTGTTTTTATGGGGTTCATATGTGCATGAATGTATGTGTCTCTGTGTCTATATATGTTTCTTGTGTTTTTTCCTTTGTCTCTTTTTCTTCTGTTTGTTTTGTCCTGTTTTGATTTGTTTTTATTTTATCTTTTTAAATTTTCTTATTATTCCTTGGATGCCTGTTTGTTTTCTAAGGAGAGACAGGAAGGGTATGGATGTGAATTGAAGGGGCAATGGGGGGCAGGGAACTGGAAGGACTGGGGGAGGGGAAACTAATCAGAATATAGTGTATGAAAAAAACTATTTTCAATTAAAAAAGGAATTCTATTCTTAGCAACACTTTAAACATGATTCAGTTTTTCAGAACAAAGATCATGGAGTAAGTTCATTGTATTAAAATATAACTAAAACTTTAGTGTTTAGTTATAGATTTTAGTTTATGCTGATTCTAATTTTTGAATAGTCTGTTTTTTTTCCAGTGACATCAGATTTAATGTTATTTCATCACTTTTTCCTGTTTAAAAATTTTTTCTTTGCTGAGAAAAATGATGTCCCATTTAAAGCTGAGTACTCCAGAGCCTTTTGTTCTTTGTGGGTTGACCAGTTGTCGGTTTCCATGTTAGTTGCTGTTTACGACAAGAATAAGCTTTTTTGATGAGGGCTGAGAGAAGCACTAATACATGTATATACCAGTAAGTCATGAGGAGTTTGTTTAATACTATGATCATTTCGCAGAATCATTTAGTTGTAGCTTCTTCCTTAGGGTCTATGACCTATCTGGGCATAGGTTTTTGGCCCCATTAATGATGCCAAGTATGGGTTCCATCTTATGGAGCAGTCCTTAAATCCAATCAGAAAGTGTGTAGTTAGTCCCATAACATTTGTGCCCCCAGTGTATCAGTGGGCATATCTTACCAGACTAGTTATTACTGTAGCTCAGAGGGTTCACACTGAGTGAGAGTGATGATTACTTTTCTCCTCTAGCAGTGTGCACAGCACCTTCAAGCACTATGAAGGCTAGCCAGTACCAACCAAACTTCCAGGTCAGTACTAGATTTATTTCTCCATGTTCTATGATTCAAGTATGTGGCATCTTTAGCAACAGGGTCATACTATAATGTTCTGGAGGGTAACTAATAACATCAACAATAGTCTGTTTGGGAATCTGTGGAACCCTGTGGCCAATGAGCCTTCTAGGGGTAACCCATTTACAGCCCTGGGCTTTTTAATTTGTTTACCTGTGGTGTCTGGTAGAGGCACTGTTGCTCTGTTATAGGGTAATCCAATTTGAACTCTTTTTTACACATGTAAGCATAGATTTTTAAGAAGTTTAAGAAACTTCTCTAGTAGTAGGTCCCCATATGACATTTTCTAAAGGTGTTTAGTGCTACTTATTGTGTTCCATGTATTCTTTCCTATAGTCTTTCCTCTCTCCCCTCACCCCATTTAAACTATCCCATTCCACAATTCCCTCTTCCCTCTCTTTTTTTTTTTTTTTTGGCTTTTTGAGACAGGGTTTCTCTGTGTAGTTTTGGTGCCTGTCCTGGATCTTGCTCTGTAGACCAGGCTGGCCTTGAACTCACAGAGATCCTCCTGGCTCTGCCTCCCAAGTGCTGAGATTAAAAGCATGCGCCACCACCGCCTGGATCCCTCTTCCCTCTTTACATCACTGTATGTTCTACCTCCTCTCTGTTGGAAGACACCCCCCCGCCAATGCCCCATCCCAGGCCCTTTACTAACATCCTGATTTTCTTATAGCCCAGACCAGTTGTTTCTCAAGGGCCCTAGAGATATTGATGAAGATTAATGATCCTGTAAATAGGTGTTTAAAATAAATAAATAAAAAAGATGAAAACATGGATGAGGGAGAAACTACAGTGAGTTAATAAATGAGGTGTTCGGAGGCAAGTGCCTCCAAGATTATTTTAGCAATTAGTGGGAAGCGTTTTGTCACCAACAAAATAAATCTGTAATCAGAAAATAATTTGTAATCAGCTTTGCAAGTCAAATGGCTTTCCCATTCCATCGAAGGCAGCATGAGAATTAAATGATCCAGTCAAAAACAATACTTTCAGGGGATAAATGCTCAGGACAGATTGTCTAGGCAATTAGTCAATAGTTAGGTCCTGGTCTGTATAAGAAAGCTTGCTAGGCCTGAGCATGCTTGTGTTGCCAGCCGGCAGCATTCCACCAGGGGGGATATGACAGAAGTGTCCCTCACCAAGATGCTATCTAACCACACCAGGAATGGAAAAAAATCTTCGTGATGAATGCTTCCTGGGATTCAATAAATGTACGCAGGAAACATTCTGCAAGCCTGCTGGAAGCGATAGCATTATGGCTCAAAGGTAGAATGTTTGCCTAGGATCCCCCATTCATTCAGAATGAGGGGTTAAGGTGTGGCTCAGCTCTAGAGCACTTACCTGGAATCCTTCTTTCTGGGACAGCTCACTAGCTGATTTACCTGCAGGATGTTTTTCAAAGCCCCTTTTAATGACATTGAGAGAATGATACAAAGAGTGCGAAATAAGACGACCCTCGGAAGATACTTCTCCAGAAACCTGGCTCCAAATGACCAAGACCTCAGTATACAGAAGAGTGCTATTCCCCCCCAAAAGCACACATGCTTTTGACATATCATGTGGATTACTCTTAATGTATAGCTAACAAATATTTTAGGTGCTTTTAAGAACATGGTCTTTGTCCTAGTTAGCTTTAACTGTCAAAGTAACACAGCCTAGAGTCACCTAAGAAGGGAGTCTCAATGTAGGAATTGTCTAGATCATATAGGTTTATAAGCATGTCTGTGGAGGATTGCATTGACTATTAATTGATGTAGGCGATCCCAGCCCACTGTGGATGCTACTATTCCCTAGGCCAGTGGTCCTGGGCTGTATAAGAAAGCTAGCTATGCCTGAATCTGTTTGTGTGCCAGTCAGCAGGGTTCCTCCAAGATTTCTGCTTCAAGTTCCTCCTTGAATTATTTTAAGCCAAATAAAAGCTTTCCTCCCCTAAGTTACTTTTGGTTGTGATATTTGTCATAGCAACAGAATGAAACCAGAACAGTCTTCATACATGCTTTGATTTCTTTGGAGACCAAAATGATAGTTGAGAGTGGTTCCTGTAGATGAGCAGTCATTCAGACAGACTATTAAAAATCAAGTTATCAATACTTTCCCTAAATGTAGCCATTGATCACAACGATTCAACTCAGAGGGAACATAATGAGCATGTCTGTCTTAGGGTTTCTATTGCTGTGAAGAGACACCATGATCATGGCAACTCTTATAAAGGAAAACAATTAATTGGAGCTGGCTTAAAGTTTAGAGGTTCAGTCCATTATCATCATGATGGGGAGCATGGTGGCACACAGGCAGACATGGTTCTGGAGAGGTGGCTGAGAGTTCTATATCTGGATCCACAGGCAGCAGGAAGAGACTGTCACATACTGGCCAGGCTTGAGCATCTGAGACCTCAGAGTCCACCCCCAGTGACACTTCCTCCAACAAAGCCACACCTACTCCAACAAGGCCACACCTAATAATGTCACTCCCTGATGACCAAGCATTCAAACAGATGATCTATGGGGGCCATTTCTATTCAAACAACCACAGTGTCTCTGTTAGTCACTTTCCCCTTTTCATTTGCAGATAAAATGGAATATGCAGATCAAAGAGGACATCTAGGCTGGGGAGATGCTCAGTTGGTAAAGTACTCTCTGTGAAAACTTGAGAGCCTGAGTTTGAGCTCCCAAATCCATGTAAAAAGTTGGTCATGTGGTGTGTATTTGTAATCCTACAGATGGAAAGGTGGAGACAGGAGGATTTTTAGGTATTTGTTGTCAGCCAACCTAACCTAACGGACAAGCCCCAAATCCCAGTGAGAGACCCTGTCTCAAAATTCAAGGTGGATGACACCTGAGGTGTTGACCTCTAACCCCTGGTCTCTACACACAGGCACTACACTTACATACACATACATATGCACCCCACACAGAGAAACATGCATACACACACACACACACACACACACACACACACACACACACACACACATTGAATTCACAGAAATTCAGTACATAGACCAAGGCCAAGATGACCCTTTAAATTTTTTTAGGTATGTTTATTTTGTTTTATGTGGATGAGTATTTTACCTGCATGTAAGTATGTACACCATGTGGGTGTGTGGTGCCCAGCAAGATCAGAAAGGGTCTTTGGATGCCCTGGAATTGAGGTTATGGATGGTTGTGAGTTACTATGTGGATGCTGAGACCTGAACCCTGGTCGTCTGCAAGAGCTGCTGCAACCATCAGATGGCTGCTGAGCCAGCTCCTCAGTCCCCAAGACAAGAAGACTTTGAAGCCAGTTCTCAGTGCAGCTAGACAGCAGGCAGCAGGTTGCTAGCCACACATTCACCAGCATTTTATCCTCCAATGTCTTAAATATTTAGAACGCTTGCTTAGGCTGCACAGATCCAAGAAATAAAATAGAATTATTTTAATAAAGGAGATGCTGGGACGTGCCCCTGTGATTTAGAAAGCCCATTTCATGGTGTGTGTCGGAGCAAGAAATTATGAATTTGGAAAGTCTTTGCTCTCTAGCTGCGGCTGCTGCATTAATGATATTAGAATATTAAATATAATGGTCTTTCACATTCATTTTCCTTGTGTTCGTTTGGAGCCCTTGTCTTCACGGAAGAACCGCGTCCAGGGCCGTAAATGATTAAAGCACACAAGATTGAAGATGAAAGGCATGATCTTGGAGCTGGCTGTTTGTTTTGGATCTCAGTCAGTGCTCCGATCTTCCTGGCTCCCCTCATTTCATTTTGAAAGGGGTTGACTAATTCCTTCCCATCATTCACTAACTTTATTACCTCGACAGATCTGAATTTATGTTCTACCCCAAGTCAATAAAAGCAAACTTATTCTCTGGTGCATTCGACGCCATTCCTCTCATCTCACTCCAGTTTGGTACCCAGAGCCCATAACCATTTATTACAGACTGCAAAAGGGAAGGGCTTAGAGTCTCACGTCACAGAGAAGCATATTGCTCCCATTTGGCTGTAACCGGCTGTAGGTGTGTATCAAGTGCTCTTACTTTACTGTACATATGAGAACAAGCACATGTCCATTAAGGACAAAAGTGAGTGAGGTTTGAGGGCACAGGCGTGCAATCCTAGCATTTTGAATGTAGAGGCAGGAGAATCAGGAGCTTAAGGCTATTTGTGGCTACAT